TCCACTTATCCATCTATCCATCCACCCATCCACCCATCCTTCCATCTATCCACATCCACCCATCCACCCATCCACTGTGGACACTTGGGTTGCTTCCGTCTTTGGGAGGCCTAATACAATGTTGATGAACAGCGAAAATGCTTCTGCCCTTTTGCAATGGCTCTGACTTTCCAAGGAGAAGGGATCAATGTGGCGTACACTTGGGTTGCTTCCACCTTTAGGACTTGTGTGAATAACGCGTGTACAAGTATCTGCTCGAACCCCAGCTTTCAAGTCTTCGGGTGTCTGGGTAGGAGCCATATCACCACATCATGATGCCAGTCTGTAAGCTTGACGCTTCAGACCCCTGCCTGGGACACCTCTCCATCTGTAGTCACTACCACGGGTGTGGAGATGGCAAGACACTCCTGAGTAGTATCCACACAGGCGCGCCGAGGACAGCCCCTGCGGATAGTCATGCAGGTAACGGGAGGGGAGCAGCATCCACACTGGGATTGAAGACATCATGCCACCCTCCAGGGCTCCACCGGACGCTGGCTTTGTCCGTCTGTTTGTCCACGTGTTTCTTGGGCTGAGCATTCGCATATACCAGTCTCCAGGGGGTGGTTGGTGGGGAGAGCAGGAAACAGGCTGAGTGCTTCTGGGGGTCACGCCAACTCACAACAGTAAGGGCTCCGAGGAGGACGCTGCATCGTCCAGTCCTAAGAAGGTCCACCTAAGGGGTCCACCAGTCCAAAGCTTAGCATGGTAGGTGCCGCTCAGGTGTGCCTGGTACAGAGTCTGTGTGTGTGTGTGTGCATGCAAGGCTACAGGGTTTGTACAAACACCAATGTCCTGATGGCTTCCCAGGAACTATGTTCTTCTTCTTCAGTTACTCAGTCATGTCTGACTCTGCAACCCCATGAACTGCAGCACACCAGACCTCCCTGCCCTTCACTATCTCCTGGAGTTTGCTCACACTCATGTCCATCGGGTCGATGATGCCATCCAACCATCTCATCCTCTGTCGCCCCCTTCTCCTCCTGCCCTCAGTCTTTCCCAGCATCAGGGTCTTTTCCAGTGAGTCAGATCTTCACATCAGATGACCAAAGGATTGGAGCTTCCGCGTCAGCATCTGTCCTTCCAGTGAATATTCAGGGCTGCCTGTGCCCTGAACCCGGATTTCAGGAATGCCCAGCTGAGCTGCATGGGAGGGGTCCAGCTGGCCTTGGATGGCCTGGGATAGATCCCTGTCCTCCCCGTGGTCAGTCAGTAACCCCGCTGTGAGACCCAGTGGTTTCATGACTTGGTTTCCCTTCTGTTTGTGGAAGCAGGACCTCACCTGGAGGCTGGTTCTGAGAACCTGGCAAGCGGCACAGTTCTTGTTGTGTTTGTGGCTGTCAGGGTGGGGTCCCTCTGGTTCTGTAGGTGTGTGTGTGGGGGGGCTTTTTGGTCTCTCCCCAGGCAGGTCACTGGTGGTCAGATGGTAAAGAATGTGCCTGCAATGCAGCAGACCCGGGTTCGATCCCTGGGTCGGGAAGATCCCCTGGAGGAGGAAATGGCAACCCACTCCAGTATTCATGCCTGGAGAATCCCCATGGACAGAGGAGCCTGGTGGGCTACAGTCCGTGGGGTGGCAGAGAGTCAGACACTACTGAGCGACTAACACCTACCTTACCTAGGCAAATCGGGAGCACAGAGAGCAGTAGATTCTGCCGGAGGAAGGCGAGATGAAGCCAGGTTCCCATCAGGAGAGGGGCAGGTGGGGGACCTCTGAGTCAAAGTCCCTGACTCCCTCCGCGTGAGGATGCGAGATGTTGTTGGTCCAGTCCCCGCACCCACAGGGCTGACTCCCTGGGCACAAATGCTAAACCAGGAGCCTGTGCTGGGTGGCCCACAGCTGGAGGTGACCTTGAGTGAGTGAGTGAAACTGTAGCCCTGCCAGGCTCCTCCGTCCATGGGATTCTCCAGGCAAGAAGATTGGAGTGGGTTGCCATTCCCTTCTCCAGGGGATCTTCCCGACCCAGGGATCGAACCCGGGTCTCCTGCATTGCAGGCAGGTTCTTGACTAGCTGAGCTATCAGGGAAGCCCTAGCAGTGCCCTTAGCAGGGAGCATCTAGTTTCCTCAAGTGCTGGTCACGCGAGCTGGCTCCAGTGGGACGGGGCGATCCCTGAAGAGGGTCCATTCTGCCCTGGAGGGGAGCTGGCGGGCAGGGAGCCCCCAGGCTGGACCCCCGGAGCATCTTTGTTTGCTGGTGGGGCTGCGGGGGGGGGGGGGGGTGGAGCAGTGGCTGAGCTGTTGAATTAACACAGAAGGTCATTAGTGAGCCCCTTGGGGCCTGAGAAAGTGGATGAGATGTGTCAGTTTCTCCAGGGCGAGAAAGTCTGCCGGTTCCTCCATCCGCCTCCCCCATACCCCCAGACAGGGGAGTAGTAGGGGTAGTTCCAGATGAGATCATTGGAGCTGATGGAGAGACATCCACCCCCCCCCCCCCCACAGAACAAGGGGACGGGCATTTAAATACCAGAAGAGCTGGCGTGATGGAGACGGAGGTGGACTGGAGCACAGCTGGCTTTGGGGCAACAGGTAGGAGCCCCCCAAGCCCAGCTGCCCCCCACTCTGTGCCTGATGACTGATGCTCCCAGCGCCCCTGTCCCCGAACGATAACCGCTTCCACGTTCCTCTGAGTCTCTGGCGCCGTGGGCTGAGCTTTCGCTGGAGCGAGAATTTGTGTGCGTGTTGGTCTCATTTACATTTCAATCTCGGCCTCATGAATGTAATACCGAGAGCTGCAAATTAATAACGGGAGCGTGAGGAGGTTGCCCCACCGCCGTGGAGGAGGGTGGAGACCCTGGAGGGGGAGTCCGGCCCCCACCCCCAACTCCCACCCGCCGCTCCCGCCGGGTTCACCGTCTCGGCATTGTGTTTCCGAGGGCGCTTCATTTACGGGCCGCGGTGAATGACATTACAGAGAGCGGCAGATCTGTAGTGACACAAATTTATTTCTGTCCCCGGCTCCCGCGGTATATTCTCATACAATCGGGGGGCTATTTGTCTGGGGACAATTTAGTTTCCATGAAAAATTTAAATGGTTTCTGTGGCGAGAAAATTTAATTTGTTTCTCATTTGCTACAGCAGGTATGAAAGGATCGGGTGTCTGATGGGCTGAAATTGTCACCGTCCCCGTGCTGGGCTGCCTTGCCCTCCCAAGGCCGCGGGGGGAGATGGCGGGGGTGGCTAGGTGGCGGTCTGGGTCTTCGAGATGACATGCCTCCCCTACACCCTCCGCCCCCCCGCCCCAACTTGGAGAGCCGGTAACCTTAAACCAACTTACAGAAAACCTTTGGGGAAACTGCCAATCACCCGGAAAACAACGTTTGCATCGATCCGCTGTCCGCGTGATTTATGGCTTCATTTTACGGTAATTGAGAATTAGTAGGAAGATTAACAAGACTCAACACCGCAGCGGGGTATGCACCGCTAAGCGCAGCAATTTGTCAAGGCTTTCTTACCCCCACCCCACACCCCCCCCCCCCCGCCAACCCTGCAACCTCGCGCGGGGGTCCCCATCTAATTGAATTTGGGGATGACGCCGAAATTAATTGGACGCGGGCAGCTTTTGCGAATGGGCAACGGCGGGGGTGGGGCGCGGTGCGGGCAAGGGGGCGCTGCTCTTGCGTCCCCGACCGTCCCCAGTCCAGGGGTGGGGGGGGTCTCTCTACTCAAGGGCTGGCCGCCGCTCTAGGGATGGGTCCCGCTAGGGTCCCATGCATCCGCCCCCACCAAGAAGGATGGTATCTGGGGAATCTGATTTGGCCTCCCCTCCCAGGGAGGCCGTTGGTCAGCCCATATGAACGATGGGGCATCTCATTTTCCCTGACCGTATCAGGATGAAGTTTTGAAAATGGACTTCTTTGCAGCCGTTGAGGTTGCAATCGCATTGGGAATGGACTCTGGGGGGTTGTGGGCAGGGTCGGGGGCTGCGGAGGAGGGGACATGGAAGAACACGGAACTCCTAGCAGGAGTGGGAGTGAGGTGGCTGCAGCGGGGGGTCTGCAGCGGGCAGGAGAGGGGAGGCTGAGAAGCCGTGAGGCCCCCAAGGGCTTCCTTCAGCTCTGAATGCTTCTCTCCAGCCCCTGAGATTTGCATATTTAAGGATCTCTTTACATTTGAACAGAGACAAACGTCCCCTGGGGCCCAGATCTGGCTTCTCCTTCCAGGGGCTGTTTTTTTCCTTGGGCTCCAAAAATCACTGCAGACGTTGACTGCAGCCGTCAAATTAAAAGACTGTTTGCTCCTTGGCAGAAAAGCTGTGACAAACCTAGAGAGCATATTAGGAAGCAGAGACATCCTTTTGCCGACAGAAGGTCCGTCTAGTCAAAACTGTGGTTTTTCCAGTAGTCGTGTACAGATCTGAGAGTTGGACCTTAAGGAAGGCGGAAGTGAAGTGAAGTGAAAGTTTCTCAATCGTCTCTGACTCTTTGCGACCTCATGGACTATACATACAGTCCATGGAATTCTCCAGGCCAGAATACTGGAGTGGGTAGCCGTTCCCCTCTCCAGGGAAGAAAAGAAAGTTGAACACTAAAGAATTGATGCTTCTGAACTGTGGAGCTGGAAAAGACTCTTGAGAGTCTCTGGGACTGCACGGAGATCCAACCAGTCCATCCTAAAGGACATCAGTCCTGAATATTCACTGAAAGGACTGATGCTGAAGCTGAAACTCCAATACTCTGGCTGGATGGTGAGGGATGTCTTCAAGGGCAACTGACCATGAAGGCAGGGAGCCGTCCACAGCAAACTGAGGCGGGAGTCGGGTGCCCCCCGCCAAGGTAAAGCCGTAGGAGATGCGTTCCCTATTGGCCGAAACTCCAAGGCGCAAACAGCAGGGCGATTGCGGGTGGATGCCGGGCCCTGCATAAACCGCACGCGCCCCGCTCCTGCAGTCGGCACACTTCCTGAGCCAATGTGGGCAGCAAGGTTCCTCGGAGAGTCACGTCCAGGGATGTTTCCTCCCCCATGGGACTCTTCCCTGAAGCCTCTGGAGGGAGAAACAGCTCTGGCGACACCTTGACCCCAGATCAGGTCTGGTCCGCAGGACCGGGGGAGGGCGAACGTGTCTCGTGTTCAGGCTCTTGGCTTGGACACTTTGTTATGGCGGCACCAGGAAGCTCACGTGGTTTGGGTCCAGGCTGTGTGCATATGTTGTGCTATGTCGCTTCAGTCGTGTCCGACTCTGTGACCCCACGGACTGTAGCCCACCAGGCTCCTCTGTCCATGGGATTCTGCAGGCAAGAATGTGAGAGTAAGCTATCATTTCCTTCTGCAATCCACATGTACTCTATCCCTTTTTCCTCCTAATAAATACTTGAGTTGCTTCCCCACTCTCTGTCTTTGTGGACATTCTCTTCTGCAAAGCAGGAGGCCCAGGGCCCTGGTTGCTGACCACTGGTCTACTGGCTAGGATATGGTGCTTTTCACTGCTGCGACCTGGCCTCAGTCTTTGGTTGGGGACCCAAGCTTTGCTCCAAGCTGTTGCCACCCCAGATCAAGCCTGCCCCTGTTTCTGACACCAGCTGCCCCAACTGCAGTCCCCAAGACCACCCTCTTGCATGCGTGCTCAGTTCCTTCATGCGTGTCCAACTCTGTGCGACCCCATGGACTGTATGTAGCCCACCAGGCTCCTCTGTCCGTGGGATTCTCCAGGCAAGAACACTGGAGTGGGTTGCCATGCCTTCTGCCAGGGAATCTCCCCGACCCAGGGATCGAACCCAGGTCTCCCGCATTGCAGGCGGATTCTTTAACCCCCTCCCCGCCCCCAGCCACCCGGAAGCCCCCACCTTGCTTTGGGTGAGGTTGAACGCTCCACCCAGGGGACCTCCCTGGTCAGCCAGTGGTTGAGGGCCTACTGGCCAGTGCAGGGGACGCAGGCCCGTCTCTGGTCTGTGAAGACCCCACGTGCCGCGGGGGCTACTAAGCCCCAAGCTGTTCCACTACTGGGTCCGCCAGCTTCAACTACAGAAGCCTGCAGACCCCAGAGGACGTGCTCTGCAAGGAGAGAAGCCAGCGCACCAGAGGGGAAGGCCTCGCTCGCTGCGGTGAGGGAAACGCCACGCAGTGCAAGGAAGGGCCGGTGCGGCGGAAAAGAAAGACATCGATGAAAACTCTGCACCCAGGTCTCACGGGGCTCTGCCCGCAGCAAACTGTCCATGGGGTGAGTCTGCCGTCTTCTGTAAAGACAGCCGAGGCCCTCCTGCTTGTCCGTCCTCTGACACGGTGGAGACAGCTCTCGCGTCCCTCGTGTCCCTCGTGAGGGTCCGGTGTGGACCCCCGCTCGGTGACCCCGGCCTGACCGCCAGGCGGGATGCGCTGTGATCGCGTGAATCCCGGCGGGTGCTGTATCTGGCGTTGATCTCTCTCTCTCGTTACCGTAAAAAACCTGTTCCTCCGACCGCGTAATGTGATTTGCAAAATCCGATCAGCCGTGTGCGTGAGGCACGCACGGGTCTCTCATCGCATTTGAGGGGGCTGTGGCCGCCGCTAACACGATCCAGGAGGGACGCTTAACAGGACGAGGGAGTCGCTCACACGGCCCTCCGGAGGGGCTGGGGCCAGGCGGGGGCGTCCCCGCCCTGTCCTCTGTGGTCCTGGAGCGCAGCGGGTAAGCACAGCTTTCCAAGGCAGAGAGGGGACGTCGAGGACCCGGGACTCTGCTTATGGGGTGGACTGGGCTGGACTCTGTTCCCACTATGGAGAAGGCAATGGCAGCCCACTCCAGTGCTCTTGCCTGGAGAATCCCATGGACGGAGGAGCCTGGTAGGCTGCAGTCCACGGGGTCACAGAGAGTCGGACACGACTGAGCGCCTTCACTTTCACTTTTCACTTGCATGCATTGGAGAAGGAAATGGCAACCCACTCCAGCGTTCTTGCCTGGAGAATCCGCATGGACGGAGGAGCCTGGTGGGCTGCCGTCCATGGGGTGGCAAAGAGTTGGACATGCCTGAAGCAACTAACATGTTCACTCCTCTCTTTGCAGAAGTGATGGAGGGAAGGGTCTGAGAAGAGGTCCTCCTGGATGGGGGTGGCCTTAAACCCAATGACAGGGTCCTTATAAGACCCAGAAGAGGAGAGACAGGGACACAGAGGAGAAGCCACATGGAGACGGAGGCGGAGACGGGAGGGAGGCGGCCACCAGCCCAGGGACCGACGCCTGGAGCCCCCGGAAGCTGGAAGAGGCGGGGAGGACCCTCCCCTGGAGCCTCTGCAGGGAGCTTAGCTCCGGGACACCCTGACCTCTGGTGTCCAGCACTGGGGTAGGGGGTCGGGGGGCAATGGATGTCTGTTGTTCAAGCCTTCTGGTTTGGAGTCGTGTCTTGTGGCTTTCGCCACAGACGTATCCACCATGATGGCGTGGACACAGGCCAGTTGCAGTTGGATCTGGGAGTCTGGGTGTGAAACCACGGCCTGGCTGGACAGCTCCTGGGGGCTCTGACATGCCCTGCCCGTGGACAGCGCGGCCGCACCGCTCAGAAAACCCAGAGGAAGCAGTCACCGCTTGGCTGTGTGAACTCCGCAGAAAAGCTTCCCCTCGGGTCGCCCCTGAGTGCGCCTTGCTGAAAATCAAGCAAATCCACGCAGCTCCGCCGGGTCTTTGCTGGTCTTTGCTCTCCGGTCCTACCGTGTGACCATCGCTTTCACTTTCTAATAGACCCGTTTGCTCTCACGTCTGGGGGTCTGGGCACCAACCCTGCATGGAGACCTCCTAGTTCTGAAAGACAAATATTCTCCTTTGCTGCTGGGTGGGGGGGGCGGGAAGCCCGAGTTACTTCACTTGCATTAAATAAAAAAGTGCTTATTCACATGAGTGTCAGGGGAGGTGGGAAGCGGGGGCACCTGTTATGATCACACCTACCTTTCTGAGCTCCGGGTAAGCCGAGAAACATCTCAGAAGATTCACAATAAATCCAGCCTTGAGGAGGATGGATTCCTCCAAAATGAAATTGGGTACTCAGCTGCTTTCCATTATGGGTTTAAAAAAAAAAAAAAAAAGCCGGTGTTTCCTTTCGTTATTTATGGGCTCTTGCAGTGTAATGGTTGTAATGATTAATACCGAATTTCTGAATTTATTCTAAAAAGGCACTTCATAAATATTGAACAGCGCCATTATCCGCAGGTACCACCATTTATTTTATTAAAATGGAAATTCAGAAATCATCCATAAAAGGGTATTGTGCGTTGCGAGGTGGACCCAGAGAGTTGGGAGGGAAATTTTTTTTTAAACCGTACTGTCATCACCGCCTGCCCGCTTGCCAGCCACGTGAGGTCGGCTGGGTTTGACCCAACCGGCCGTGTGGTTCCTGGTTTTGGGGGGCAATGCGTCTAAACTCTTGTCGTGTGGAGTGGATGGTGATGACATTGGAAAGTGGGTGGGCACGGCGGTATCCGGAACGACACCTGTTTTGGTTTTAATTCGGCGGCACTGGCGAGGAAGAGCCCGCAGGTGTTCATGACAGACAGTCCCCTTCAGACCTGGCGTGCAGGTGTTTTACGACTTGAGAATGTCCCCAGAAGGAGGGGACAGCAAGTGTGACAGTGCTCAGGTGTGGGCCAGGGTGACTGTTACCTCCAAGTTCCCTGGAGGAACCTCCCAGAAGGTGCGAACCCATGTGAGTGTGTTTGGGTGTGTGCACAGCTGTGTCTGACTCTGTGTGACCCCGTGGACTGCAGCCCCCCAGGCTCCTCTGTCCGTGGGATTCTCCAGGCAGGAATACGGGAGTGGGTCGCCATACCCTCCTCCAGGGGATCTTCCCGACCCAGGCATGCAACCCGGGTCTCCTGCGTTGGCACGCAGGTTCTTTATCACTGAGCCACCAGCAGAGCCCATTCTTTAGATGCGTGAGGGCAAAGGTGACTTTGTGTTTTAAACATTTCCTGGGCTAAGGTAGGAGACGTAGGTGTTGACACAAACTTGAGGGTTCTTTGAGTCGGAAAATCAATAAATACTGGGTATGGGCTGGCGACGGGATGAGTTATTAGAATACTGTTGAGATTATCCGGAGAGATCCTCTTGGATGTGGAAGATGAGATTATCACGGGGTGGGGGGGGGGGCAGCCCCCGGATACGAGGCTCTTGTAAACTCTCCTCATGAATTAAGCTGGCCCACTGCTTTTGCTTCATGAACGGTCGTGATTCTCAATATCTTCCTCAAGTATTCTATGTTTTGTTTTGTTTTGTTTTTTGAGGACTCAAAACCTCTGTCCTTGTAGCCAGGATTTTGTGTTAACTGAAGGAAAAGAATATTTTTTCAAATGTGTCTTCTTTCCAGAACATTTTAAAAACCAATTTATTGATGTGAAATTCACGTCACATAAAAGTAACCGATTTAAAGTGCAGAATTCAGGGGGGGCATTTAACACCATCACTGTGCTGCTCACTTGCCCCTTCTCTCTGGTCCCAGACATCCTCATCCTCCCGAGAGGGGGCACTGTACTCACCAAGAGCCACGCCCCCGCCCCCCGCCACCGTGAGCCCACTTCCTGTCTCCTGGATTTGCCTGTTCAGGACGCTTCCTGTAAACGGAGTCACACGCTGTGTGTCTCTGTGTATCTGCTTCTCTCTGGGAGCGTCGTGTGTTCAGGGTCCATCCACGCTGCAGCCCGTGTCAGGGGCAGCTCCACTCCTTTTCATGGCTGCGCGATATTCCATCGCACAGACTCTTGCTTATCCACCCAACCCTTTATGGACATCTGAGCTGTTTTCTCCTCTTGGTTCTTATGAGCAGTGCTGCCAGCGATCATGGGGGAACGCTTTTCAGTTGAGTCTCCGCTTTCAACATTTCGAGGTGTCTGCATAGTCACGGAGGGGCTTCCCAGGTGGCACTGGTGGTAAAGAACCTGCCTCCCAATGTGGGTAGATGTAAGGAATGTGAGTTCGATCCCTGGGTCGGGGAGACCCCCCCGGAGAAGGACATGGCAACCCTCTCCAGTACTCTTGCCTGGAGAATCCCCGTGGACAGAGGAGCCTCGCGGGGCTACAGTCCATGGGGGTCGCACAGAGTCAGACAGAACTGAGGGATTAAGCTACAACAGCGAACAAGTGGAAATTCTACATGTCACCGTTTTGGGGACACTACAGCTAGACTGTTACTTCTCCAAGGGGAATGGAAGAGGCATGCCTACGTGAGTCTATTCTCTCTCTTTTCTTCCAAGCTGTCTACCGCAAGGTGGAACCCACGACTGGGGGCAGGAACATGTGACCGAATGACTGGATGACTGGAGAGGGTGGAGTGAGCAGCGTGAGTCACAGAAAGGCATCTGTGGTGTGTCCGGAGGGGGTCTGTCTGTCTCCCCTCGATGAGCTG